TTACAAAAAAAAAAAAAAAAAAAAAGACAACCCAACAACAAAAAAATCCCCAAAAATTCTGTTTCAGCAGAACAGAAATATGTGGAAGTCTGCTACTTCGATGCTTTCTGTATGAAATAGAGCTCTTCCACACAAAGGCCTTAGAAAATAATTTCATCAGCATATTCTCCTTGCATACGCATCTAAGCTGCTTTTTATGTTCACAAGTGCTGCTATAGTCTACTAATGGCATTTCAGTTTTACAGATAATTTGACAAAGTAAGAATTCTAAGACACTTAGGAAAAATGAAGCGTCTTGGAGATTGACCAACATAACCCTAAACTGTACAAATGAAATCCAAAAAGGTTTATTAGAGGCATTTAGGAAAACTCGATTAGTCCCACTCCAAAGAATACACCCCAGAACACAGTAACTTTCTGCTGTGTAGTCTCACGTTCTGCACAACCTAGAGACAAGCAGAAAGACACAACAGCCTCCAAAACTTGACGTTCTTCCAGAATTATTAATGTCTCCCTAAAAATAGTACTAATTGTAGAAACCACCACCAACTAACAACTAATCTAAATAGACATTTTCTCCAGCCTACTGAGTTTCCAATGTAGCTCAAACCACTTATTTTCCCCTTATGATAACAACTCTGGAATAGACATCCTGAAAGACCAACTTCTTGTCTCCCAAATCTAGGCAGCATGATGCCAAGACATGCGAATGATATATATCAAGGAACCATGGTTGTTTAAAGAAAATGGATAGGAACAAGTTCAGTATGCAAAAGATATAGCTTGACAAATCTGTTCCACAGCAACACATTACAAACTCTACACTGAAGTTCATCAGATCAGATTTCAATCTTGTTTTCTGGACAGATATAGATACTACTGGTCATGCTGACTAGCTGAGTCAAGATCTGTATTTCTCCCTTCTGGTAAGGGATCCAGTCTCTCTGCTTGGTCTCTCTCCAGACAACAGGAATGAAAGAAGATTCCCTCTCTAGTGCGTGATTTCTAGTTCTTTTCCATTTTCACTGAAATGGCTAATCATTTTTCCTAAAGGGCTGTGGAAGGAAGATAGAAAAAAAAAAACAACTGTCATCTTAAGTTTTAGACAGGAAGCTTCACTTGCTCTGTCTTCATCCTCCTCTTCCCTGTTTCATGTCTGGGGAGGAGGGGGAACCTCCCCTGCTCAGCTAACACAGAAGATCTCCCAACACTGAATTTCTTTCTTTACTCAGAAGGTGGAGGAAAAGGCAAAAAGAACAAAATCAGCAAGGCTAGAGCTCAGATAACACACTGAGTGGAGCCAGGAGACCTGGTAAAAGGAGAAGTTTTCCATGTGCATAAAGAAAGAAAAAAGGAGAAGTGAGGGAAAAGGGGGGGGGGGGGGGAGCAAAGGGGGGGGGGGAAAGGGGGGGGGGGGGGGGGAGACAGAGAGACCATCATAACCATTAACGAGATTTATTCCATTCACCTAAACTAAAGGTAGTCTTGACTGAAGGTAACTGTAAGCCTTATCTGAAGTGGTGCCAAGAGGCTAGATACAATCTGTCTTTATGAATCTAGTCAAACAAGTCACATTTGACTCATCAACAGATAAACCTCCAGTCTTGAATCTGCGAAGCCAAGTTCAGGAAAGGAGAACTAGGAGACAAAGCAGACAAAAGGTCCTGAACAGTAGCAGGGGTCACTTTCTACTAAATGACAGTTTGGCAAAGACTGAGCGGCTTTGTTTGGTCAGCCTGTACGTTGAGGGCTTTCTTAAAAAATGCAGCTATTGCACTTGGCAAGCTCAGTTTGTTTTAAACATGGTAAAGGCAGCTAAAAAAAATCCTGGCAAACCACCACCAGACTATTCTAAACCATTACCTTTTGATCCAGGATGAAAAGAGCAGACCCACCACGGGTTACATGCTGTTGACAGGCCTTCCTCATGAAAGCAATCAGAAGCCCTAAGACTATTCAGCAAGACTGAGAAAAGACTACCTTTTCTTCTGGATATACTCCTATGCTCTACATAGTATCTTAGAAACTTGCTAGAATATAAAATTATGGAAATCCTTTGGTTTGTTCATCTCAACCCCACCTTTCTTGTACATTCTACCTTCACACAAGGTTCCAGCTATAGAGAACTAAAAGCTGCTTCACATACACAAATCTAACTGGAATATGTTTTCCGCTGCAAGCCCATCCCAAGCTGCTAATGATAATTTCAGCTTAATGCATTTGCATTTATGCAACCACATTTTCACCCTTCCAGTGAAACAAGAAGCATGTTGTATACAAGACCATGTTAAGACTACACACCAGATCAGACTAAAAAGGCAGAGCATTAGTATGACATGTTAAATACTGATGTTCAAGGTTGTACCCTTAAAGACAGCAAATGGCATATATAGTACTTAAAACCAGCTGCATTACAGGGAAGAACACAGAGGAAATGAAAGATCATTCCCTGACTAATTATACTTAGAAAACAGATGTTAAAACTATTTTTTTACCATAAAAAAGGTGTATTTTAACTTTTCCAGGACTTCTGAAAGTGATAAAATTCAGCGACTCCACATGTACATCTACCCAGAATTTCTAACAGATATACATACCTTCCTTTTGCCCACAGACTCCCAAGGAGAGACATCACTCCATGAAGTGTTACAAAAGTGTTTTTCACCTGGGTCAAAACTTTTAAGATTCTAAAAGAAAAAAGAAAACAAGAAATAATCTGCTTTTGCAGTCTGTTCTGAATACAAAAATAGTCTCAATACAGAGCAAGGAAAAAGAAAAAAGGAAAAGTCACACAAACAGAGGATGAATGGAAAGTCCATACAGTATCACGATACAGCTCTCAAAACCCATTTCAAAGAAATTACTACTCTGACCCCTCTTTGATTTATTTTCCTCAAATAATTGTTCACATGACTGCCTCGTAATATAGTAGGAATTCTGAACACTTCATAGTTACTGAAAATAATATGGGAGTGAAAATATTTACATTTTAATTCCATTGCTTCCAGCCAAGTTCACAGTGAACACTGAAAGATATTTTCTCCCTTTACCTTCCTCCTCCTAAATCTGTAATATTTCACTATTTACTTCCATTTATTGACTTACCACTATGGTTTACTTTGCAACAGGTTTTAGTATTACATCTTCATAGTATTGCCATGCTTTTACTTGGAAAAACAAAGACATTCCCAGAAGCTTATTTCAAAGAGCAGCAATATTTTTCCTCAAGCTGTAAAAGCAACAATATTATTGTGTCTGGAACAACCATGTCAGGGTAAACAGCTTTCCTTATAGCATTCTTCTAATCAATCCCATCAGAGCAGTTTACGTTCCTCAAACCAAAGCCAGCTACTTCTCTAAAAATCTTAAGTTCCTCTCCAATTTTCTGAGGCCCACACATATCCAAACACAAACTTAATGGAAAAAAAAAACTAGATTCCTGTTTGCTAGACATTCCTGAAGACCCTAGGCTAGCTTCAGCAGCACACTAGAGTGTCTCAGATGAAACACAGGCTACAAATCCAGGCTTAACCCACAGAAAACTAGCATCGCTTCTCCCCTCACATTCTCCTTCCCTTTCACAAACCCCTCTTCACTCAAAATTCTGCAAGATGCTTAGAGAGGGTGAGATGTTTTCACCTCTGCACCAAATCCCACTGGAACAGCAGAAGCATGTAATAAAGACCATTGAAGATTAGATCATCTTCAAGAGAAGTGGAATTCATAAATCTAATAGTTTGTGGTCAAAAAACCAATGCAACATTTACATGAAATTTACAAGCAACCCAGGATATACTGAGCAACAAAAAGAAACAAAGCCTCTAGCAGTCAAACAAATATACAATCCTACTTAATGCAGGCTCTGTCTGAGCTAGGCTTCTGTCCACACCGTGCAAATGTCAGCATCCCTGCGTGTCTAACAGATTATAGTGAGCCAGAAGCTCATGCCAATGATAATTTGATTTAAATTAAATTATTCAAGAATTTAGAAAAATGTAGTTAAGTTTGCAATAAGCTTTCTAGCTTTTTCCAACCTTCAGGTTTCCCCAAGGAGAATCCTTTAGAGCTCAGCGCAACAATAAACAAATCCCTTCCATTCTAATCAACATCTAGGCACTGATTGAGTCATCTATTTGCCCTTCAGTCAAACCTTCTTTAAAAAAAACACCACCACCTTAGAAAGAACCCTTGCATGGAACAAGAGAAATCCTTAGAGAACATGATGCTTTTCTTACATACGTTTGATAGAGAAAATGAAGAGACTCAAGATTTACTAACAATTCTTCAGCCGAACACGCTGGAGTGAATTACACACTGTTAAGAAGTTTTACTGAAGTTTATGGCCTACCCCAAACATGTTCTGCTTTTGGTTTGAGTACTCTCCACCAAGAGAGGCTCCTAGACTTGAACACCAGATTCCCACAAGCCAAACGCATGTGATAGTAAGTCTAGATCATTTTGCTGAAACGTTTGTTTCCTACAGAGAAATATTCACAGATAAAGATAGATAACCATTCTTATCATTACAATTAGCCAGTGCAAACGGCTATACTGAACTCTTGCTTTAAACAGAGATCCATGTTGACATCCCAGAAGCAAGTTTTGATCCGTTAACTTGTTATGCCCTTCCCACATTTCTCACTTCAAGGAGGGGAGGAAAACAGGAGAAGGGAAAGGCAACAAGAAGGGAATAAAAACCCTCTGAGAAGCCTGATTAATCCTGATGCATAGTGGATATTTCTAAGCTTAAGAGAAAAACATTTTAGAACTAAGAACTGTTCTCCCCTCTGTATTAAAGCCATAACCGTTTTCCAGAACAAAAAGATAAAATGCTCAGTTTAAATGAAGACTTAAAGATCACAATATGTTAAAGAAGTTAAAATAGATTCCTAAAGGAAAGCCTCTGACATTGCAGTGTACTTGAAAGTACTACTTTGAGAATCCAACTAGTAATCTAGCACAAAAGGCTAATGTTTTCTTCCTAGCAGAGATCAATCAAGAACTTTTAGCCTAAAAACTAATCCATTTGGCCTCCAAGCTACAAAGAGATACTAGTTGTATGTGAAATTCCTTCACCTTCCTCACAAACTACTGTCCATTATCATACCTCATTAGAACAGTTTAAGACCAATTTTAAGACCAGATGGCAGGTCAAGTTTGTATCATATCATTTCATATTGTTTCCTAAATTGTCCAGCTTCCTCACAAGGACAATGTCCAGAAATAAATCATAATATTTGAGGGGAAAAAAACAAAACAAAAACTTAAGCTACTTCTCACCTATTAAGACATCACACACCCTATTCTACCAAAAAAAAATACCACGATCATATGAGCCAAGTACAAGTCAAGTTCTAAAAACCATTCTTCTTGCTGCTAAAGTTATACCAAAACGAGCCCCAGATTACCTGGAAAAAACAAAGTGAAGTTATGAAATTGGTTGAGGGAGAATTATCTGCAAAAAAAAAAAAAGTGGTTTTTTTTTTTGCCCACATTTCACAGAGCTTTTTCCAGAATGGAAACGGTGCTGGGTTCCCCACCACCACCATTTATTAAAAATGAAACAAAACCAAACAAACACATACCGCTCTTAGTCCCAAAAAAACAACCAAACACAAAACACCTTATTCTTCATTCCCCATTAAACCCCATACTGCAATCAAAAAGTTAGACTGTAATCAATTTCATAGCAAAAACTAGCATCATCAAAACACTTCTACTTCACAGGGTCAAGACAGAACAGCTTCTGACTTAGGTTTAATTACAAAACAATATACAACACAATAAAAAGAGTAAGAAAATAGAAATTACTAGGAAAATACACTTCTTCCTGAGCTCTTATGACATTTATTTAGATATATCAAACATTGTTCAACTGCAATAACCAAGAATGTTCCAAAATTAGATATGCACGTAGACCTTAAGCATTTTTTTCCCCAGTCGCTTGCTTACACAGTTTCAGAAAAAAACACCACAAAAGAAACACAGCACCCTTAAAGAAAGTTAGCTTACTTTAGTACCATCATACAGAATTAATCCAAACTCTTGACTATGGTCAACATGAAGTCAAACATATTGAACAGCCAAAAACTCCTGTGTACTAGCTGGCTGAAATACATTACCGGTTAGTCACTGAGTTGCATGACTAACCAGGCAGGCAGCTAAACACCACCCAGTCCTTCACTCACTCCCCCTCCGGTGGGATGGGGGAGAGAATCACAACAACAACAAAGGTAAAACTCATGGGTTGAGATAAAGACAGTTTAATAGGACAGAAAAGAAAGGGAAAATCACAATAATGATAAAAGAATATTCAAAAATAAGTGATGCACAATACCATTGCTGACCATCCACTGACCAATGCCCAGCCAATTCCTGAGCAGTGGACCCCTGGCCATCATTTCCACTAGTTTATATGCTGAGCATGACATCATACAGTATGGAATATCCCTTTGGTCAGTTGGGGTCAGCTGTCCCAGCCGTGTCCCCTCCCAATTTCTTATGCACCCCCAGCCTACTTGCTGGTGGGGCACTGTGAGAAGCAGGAAGAGACCATGACTCTGTGCAAGCACTGCTCAGCGACAACTAAAACATCAGTGTGTTATCAACATTATTCTCATCCTAAATCCAAAACACAGTACTCTTACCAGCTAATAGGAAGAAAAGTAACTCTGTCCCAGCTGAAACCAGGACAATATTTATTTTATGCCATCTACGTCACGCCCAGGTCCCACACTTACAAGACATCCCAATTAATCACCACCACCTTTCCTTTATTTTGATGTCTACACACAGATATCATTCCCTAAGTCTATGAGCCATTCCTCTGAAATGTCTGTTGAGTTCATTTAGTCCATGACTTTGAGCGCCATCTGTCATAACAGTCCTTCAGGGCAGGAGAGATGGTGTGTGGTGTTGGATTGCTACATGCTGAAGCCAGTTCTGGTTCCATCACCACTGCGCTTGTCCGGTTCTATCATCGCTGCACTTTGCTCCATTTCATCAAAGTTCATGCTTCATTAATTTGGGTCATTCTTACTGTAAGACCGTTGATATGGCATATAGCCACCACAGTAGTGATATTTATTATATAAATTTATTTTTTATATAGATATATAGCTATATATATATATTAGAGAGAGAGATTAACATCATACAATTCAAATCATTGGCTATTCTCACCCAAAATCAAATCCCCTTGAGGTACACATTGGACTTCCCCATCCTGCCGCGTTACCCACCAAGTGCACCCAGGTCCTTGAGCAAAAGCAATCCCACGGATGGGTTTGCCTTTGCCTGAGGCAGGAATGACCCAGACTGTCTGCCCCAGCACATTTTTTTTATGTGCACTCCAGGGACTTTATCCCCTTCTACAGTACGTAAAAGTTTTGACTGGGCAGGGCCAGCTCGACTGGCAGATCCCCTACTGTTGACTAACCAGGTGGCTTTGGCTAAGTGTGTATCCCAGGGTTTGAACGTCCCAGCACCCGTTGCTCTCAGTGGAGTCTTTAACAGTCCATTGTATCGTCCGATTTTCCCAGGGGCTGGTGCATGACAGGGGATGCGAGATACCCACTCAATGCCAAGCTCTTTGGCCCAGGTGTCTATGAGGTTGTTTCCGAAATGAGTCCCGTTGTCTGACTCAACAGTTTCTAGGGCACCAGGTCACCACACGACTTGCTTTTCA